GGTTGGAATCACTCAAAGAATTTTCAGCATTTCAGCCTTTTAGTTCAGTTTCCCTCTTCATCACACCTTTCCTCACAGGCATTTAGGAGGAGAAAAGTAAGCAGATACAAATTCATCTCTCTACATTTCTCTTTTCTCCCATATGGAGATGTTTTTGGTAAATAGGGGCGTGCCCCAAAGATAGGCAGCTCCTCCAGGCTTGGATAACCCACAGCCTGGATGGTTAACATTTGAATAGTCTACATGGCACTAGTAGTATTCTGGACTTGGAGTCTGAAAGATCTGGGTTCAAATCTCACCTGTAATACTTACTGGCTATATTAACAGTCAAGTCACTTAACTGAGGCTCTGAGATTCAGTTTCCACATTTGAGTAATGGAGATAACTATTCCTATAGTGTCCACCTCCCAGGGTTACATAAATGTCAGCTATTCGTATAAATAACCAATTGCTGGTGATGACCAACATTAATGACTTCATTCTCCTGAGTACTCTAAGGACCCAACATCAGATTAAAGGATTTAGAGTAATTTTTCTGCATTGAAAACACTTCTCATGTTCTTTGGTGTCTGTGGGATGAGAGGTCTGGAAACCACCACTGCCGCCACAGATTCAATCGCCCTGAGGCCTGCTCTGCTTTGGGGTGGGGCCAGTCTCCGCTGGCATGCCCTGCATTGGACTGTGGTCCTCCTTTATGCTGGTGCAACAGACCTTTCCTGCCAACCTTCTAAGTAGTCTTGGGCTGGAAATTTGTTTCATTCCATCTTTTTGTGGGTTTTGCTGCTCTAGAATTTGTCTAGAGTCATTTTAAAAGATATTTGGAGGGGTTTGGGGGAGAGCTCAGGCAAGTCCCTGCCTTTACTCCACCATCTTGGCTCCGCCCTCCTCTTCTAATGTCTTGCTGCTGTTAGGAGATTCTATGAAGAGGAGAAACCAAGATTCTCAAGGACACCTCATGCAATCTTCCCCACCAGGTATATATATGTAGGATGCATACATTACACATACATGAAGCCAAGATAGATATGATATATTACTTCCTTGATAGCAGGAATCTTTTATTCCTTGTATTTGTAATCCCAGTGCCCAGCACTGTGCCTGGCAAATAAAAGGCACTTAATAATTACTTGTTGATTGATTAACTGATACACACAGAAAAACAAACATATGGATGTTTCTATAAATATTTTTAAAAATATACTTACAAATATATGCAGATCTTTGCATGGCTGTGCCATGAATATCACAATTTGGAATATTGGTGATGTTTGGGACCAAACTCTATCACTTCACAGGCTTTATCTTGAAGATGACTTTGGATTAGCATCATAAAGTGGCAAAGATACCTGGGCTATAACTTAACCTAGAGCAGGGTAAATGAAAGAGGGAAAAGGATGGCTGGGAAGTCCAAGGGTTATGTAACAGAGAGATGATGGATAGGTTTACAAAAAAAGACAGGAAGGGGCCTAGTCTGGACTAATTCAGGGGCCAATTTGGCAGGGGACTTATATGGAAGCCAATCCAGAGGGCTGCTGTCAGGGTCCCATCTAGGAGCTAATTCTAGAATCCCTTCCCAAACCCTTGACAAGTGATGTCAGTAACAGGCTCTTTGATTACAGACTCTTGGTTTCTTTATGCTTCTTCCCTCTTTCTAGGAGTGACCAGAGAGAGACTTCCCTAAAAGTGGGGCTAGGAAGGGAGGTCATAGTTGAGGGAAGAGCAAATGAGCCCCCAAAGCTAGGCTGGTTGATAGCAAGGTGACCACAGAGCACCAAGACCCAAACTAAGAAGCTAGGATCCGATTAGGAAGCTAAGATGTACAGAGGGCCAGGGGATGACCATTTATTGGACCCAACCTGATCCTCCAAAGCTTCTGTCTTTGTATTGTGGCTCTGCTTTTTCCCCACCTCTGCCCAAACTGGATGTGTCAGCATTCACAAAACTTCCTTCTGACTCAGCCACCACTGCTGGGCTGTGAGTTATAAGATTGCTGCCTTCACTTGGTTATTGTATGGTACTAAATGGGATGCTAGGATGCAAAATCTACTTAGAGAGAGTAGCATTGGGGCTCTACTTAAGAAAACTAGGTTTTTGTTATACCTAAGTTCAAATCCAGACACTTACTAGCTGTGTGACCCTGGGCAAGTCATTTAACTCATTTGCCTTAGTATCCTCATCTGTAAAATGGGGATAAATAATAGTATCTACCTCTCAGGGTTGTTTTGAGGATCAAATAAGATACTAGTAAAGTGCTTAGCACAATGTCTGGCTCATAGTAGGTTCTATATAAATGTTAGCTATTATTATTATTATTATCCTCCACTTTTAGGAGACATCCAAGATCTTAGCTCCTGATCCTATGGGATCCCCTCCCTGTCCCTGCCAGAAAATGCTGATATTGTAGAGTTTAGTCAGCACTCAGTAGGAACCTGGCTCAGCCTAGAGTATCCTACTAAAGTGAGTGGCCATATCAAAGTGACTTATTACCAGGGAGCTCTCCAGACCCCACAATCACAGGTATCACTATTAAGTTCCACATCATTAACTCTTAGGGCCCAGTCCCTAGTGCTCAACTGTAGAGATCAGGATGCTACCCTGAGACTCAAAACTGCCTCCATCTGACTACCTAATAACCCATCCAGCCCAACTCTTGTCTTACTTACATGCTCCTCTTAACTCATCACCTGGACCAGCAACCTTAAAATGAAAAACCTGCAGCCAATATAGCATTAGTAGCTAGCAAGGCCAGGAAGTGTGCACCAGGATACATTGGACAGCACCCAAGAAACTCTAGCAGCCTGGGAAGTTGTTTAGCTCTGAGGACGAACAGAACTGACATATCCATATGAAAGCATGGCATGGTGGAAAGTGTTGGCCTGAAGAGTCAAGAGATCTGTGTTCAAATTCTGATTCTAACAGTTATTGTTCAGTTGTTTTTCAATCATGTCCAATTCCTCATGACCTTATTTGGGATTTTCTTGGCAGAGATACTGGAGTGGTTTGCCATTTCCTTCTCTATCTCATTTTACAGATAAGGAAACTGAGGCAAACAGGGTTAAGTGAATTGCCCAAGGTCACCCAGTTAGTGTCTGAGGCCATATTTGAACTCAGGAAGATGAGTCTTTCTGACTCCAGGCCTAGCATTCTATCCACTGCACCACCTGGTTCTAACACTGACTAGCTATGTATCTATGGGGAAGTCACTTGATCTCTCTGAAGCCTCTCAGTTTTCTCTTCTGTAAAATGGGGATAATATTCATAGTGCCTACCTCACAGGCTTGTTGTGAGGAAACTCCTTGGTGACCCTTAAATTACTAAAGAAATGGAAGTTACTTTTTGTGTCTGCATGAAAGATCCTTTGTTAAGACCACAGCCATATTGGGGGGGCATCTGGGGCACAAGCCCCATCTGGAAGTCTTCTTCCATAGTCACTTCTATTTGTGCACTCACTATTTATGGGGTCTCATTTATTCAACACATTTTTTAAAGCATCTTCTTGTGTATGGAGTGCAGTGGCAAAGGCTGGAGGAGATACTGACATGAACTTCACAGGATTAATCCTATGGCATACAGGCATATAGGCAATCCTATAGCATTAATGCTAGAGAGGAACTGAGCTAACTCTGAGCCTAATACCCACCCCCCAACCCTAGACTGGTGTGTGTGTGTGTGTGTGTGTGTGTGTGTGCACGCACACGCACATGTGTGCATATATTATACCCCAAGATGTTGGAGCAAATGTTTATATATTTGTTCTTAGAATATCTTTGAAATAAATGTTCCTTTGTAAAAGCTAATACAATTTTAAGTGGTTGAATGAAACTCGGGTGCTAGGCACTGTACACCTACAAATGAGAGGAACACAGCCAGTGAGACTAGAGCAGATGGCAGAGAAAAGAAACTCTCTGATCCCTTCAGAGTCCCTGAGGACCCTGCAGACAGTCAAATAAACAGGCCTGGACCTCAGAGAGGGGGGACCAGAGCATCTTTCACCTTTATCTCTGTATATGTTCATACCACCCAGCCTCTAGTAAAATGTAAATAAATTCCTTAAAGTAGTGACTCTTTTTTTTTGTATCTTCAGTGCCTAACACAACACCTTGCACCTTTATTGTTGTTCAGTCCTACCTGAATCTACATGACTCCATGGACTTTGTCAGTAGGGTCTTCTTTGAAAAGATACTGGGGTGATTTGCCATTGCCCAGGTGTCTCCATTTTACAGATGAGGAACTGAGGCAAATAGGGGTTAAGTGACTTGCCCAGGATCACAGAGCTAGTAAATGCCTGAGGCTGGATTTGAACTCCAGATCTTCCTGACTCCAGGCCTAGTGCCCTATCCACTGAGCCACCTCGCTGCCCCAATGTCTTGTACCTTGAAGGTGCTAAATAAAGGTTTGCTGAATTGAACTGAATTTGACCCAATTTCAACATAAACCCAGAGAGGGAAGAGAATAAACATTTACTAAGTGCCTATTATCTCATTTGAGGCCATCCATTTGATCTGTCCAGGTTCACACAGCAAGGCAGAGGCAGAATGAGGACTAGAACTCAGGTCTCCTGAGGTCTAGCTTAGTGTTCTTGCCTCTACACACAATGCCTCATAAATCTTAAACAGCATGGGCAGGATAAGACTATGGTTCCTCTCTTCTGAATTCATTACATGGTAACTCGGTCATATTAGGTGAAATGTATTGCTTAAATACTTTAATATAAATCAATTGAATAGCATCAAAAAGCATCTTTCATTTAAATCTATTGTGCTACTTCCGAGCACAGGGGTGGGAAATCTTGGGCCTCGAGGACACATGTTAGAGGCCCTTACATCCTTGAATGTAGCCCTTGTGAAGTTTGAATTCAGTCAAAGGGCCAAACTTGAAGACCTAGAGGGTCACATGTGGCCTCAAGGCCCCAGGATCCCCACCACTGTCCTAGGACACATTTTAGCTGGAGTGGGGAAGTGGGGAGGGAAAAAACCTTGAAAGACATAAAACTGAAAAAATTTAAACTTTTCTATATCTTTATTATTGATACTAATTTTAAATATAACTTTAAAAAATGAAAAGATAATAAATTCAATACTTAAAACCAAGAACTTGTAGTGTTTCAACCTCTTCTTTTTCTTCTCCCCTGCCAAGCAAGGAAATAAAAGATGGCTGGAACACCTGTGTGAGGTCATGGAAAGAGCCCCTAGGAATCACAAGACCTGGGTGCTAATCTTGTCTCTGCAAGCCTGGGCAAGTCACCCCACTTTTTTGGGCTTCTGTTTCTTCATTTATAAAAAATGAAGACCTTGGATGGAATGATCTTTCACCACCAAATCCCATAGTCTTATGACCACTATCAGTGCTGACACTGCCGGCACCACCTTTCCCTTGAATCTCAGTCCCAAGGATGGGCTCTATCTCTGCTCCATGATTTGAAGTCAAGGGAGGGTTGCAAGGGACCTCAGAGATCATCTAGCACCACCCCTACCCCACCCAAACTCCACTTACAAAGGAAGAATCGAGATCCAGAGAGGTCAAGGGACTTGCCAAACGTTGTATGGGTCTTGAATCCCAACCCAGCTACTGCACCATTATCACATGTCAAATTCACAGCAATTTCCCTAAAAAAAAAAAACTGAGCTACTGAAGTTCTATGTTCCCATCTCTCTTGGCCACAATCTACAGTTAAACCCAAAGGACAGTGATAAAACTCATGGAGGCCCAGAAGTACCAAAGAGATTCTCAGCATGGCAAGATCACAGCACATGGATGCTCGATTGTCTGGAGCAAGCAGCACTGATCCATATTGGGGAGGAGGCAGGGTAGTTAGAAGGCATCGCAGATGTTCAAGGAGCCAAGAGGAAAAGTCAAAAGTCGAGCCCATTCTGTTCTGGTAAATAGGGCCGCTCAGGAAGAAACCCTAGGGTACGGAGCTGCATCCTAACCATTCTTGTTTTGGTTTCAGACCAGTCTGCTACTTCTTGCCTCTCACAACGGTGTGGGATGTTGCAACTGTATACACTGAGGTCGGAGAACAATGTCTCCTTTTTGCCTCCCTGATCATGGCTAGAAGCCAGGGCAGTCAGGCACAGATGCAGCCCCAGTCACATCTGAGGACAATGAAGGGGGACAGTAGAGTCCTGCCCCACCTCAACTGTGCTGGGGAGGATGGGCTTTTTCTATTGTCCCTCGCATGGGCAAGGTCTCCACCTCCATCTGGGAGATAGCCAGAGTCAGCACTGTAATGTGACCACTTTGACTTTTTCAACCACATCAGAAAGGTGTGAAGATCACATTGCCCAGGCAATGCAACTGTCTGGCTTTGTTTCATTCACTACATTTTGCAAAATGTGTTTATGTAACTATCAATATGTACACAGTGCTGAGACAGAGACCAAAGACATTGTCTCCAAAATACTGGTAAGACCAATGGGAGAGGAACAGCAATATGGCTCAGGGCATTGGACATCTCCAAGAGTCATCAGTGGGGTCAGAGTAGAAAAGACTCCCTAGGCACTCTTCTATCAGCAAATCTTACATATGGAGAAGGGATTTCCAATAAAGGCATCAGACTTCATACCACACACATTTTTAAAAGTTAAGCCACTGGATGCTTCTTAAGCAAGAAGTAATACTGGGTCATTGAACTGGCAAGAAAGGGTCAAAATATATACATCTTCAAAGACCCCTAATACTCAGCTTGATTTCTGGACAATGACCAACGGTGACTCTGAGAGGAGTGAGGCCACAGTCAAATGAATAAAAAGGACAAAATCACTTTGGAAAGTCAGAGCAGGCAGCTAAGGAAGTGAGTGACAAGGGTAACAGCCCACATCCTCATCTTGAGGATAGGATGGATGGATTGATTGAGCTCTTTTGCCTTAGAAAGATTCTGCTGCATCCCTGAGAAGCAGCATTTCTTCTCTGTACAGAGCAGAGAACTTGAAGAAAACATGAAGAAGCTGTTCTCATCACCAGTAGCCACAAAGCTTTCCAAAATGGGAATGCCTTTCTCAGCTGCATACTTTTCTTTCAGGATTGCAGTTTCTAGGACCTTGTTTTTTTTTTCCTCTCTCTCTGAGTCACTACCCAAGAATGGGCAAGGATTTCACTGCCAGTTTGGTTTCTGGGCAACCATTAGCTGGAATGCTGTATAGGAGAATGTCTGCCCACCTAGATGGGTTATTCACGCATCACTAGGGGTAGGCACTGTGCTGCTGATCAGCTGGGTTCTTTGAAACATGAAGTGATCTGTGGCTTCCACGTCTCTGCCCACCTTCAGGCTGAATTCTGCACATCTCCCAGCTAAAGGCACCGGATGGGGGAAATGCTCAAAAGGAAAAAAACATTCTTCCTGCTGCTCTTCTTTCTTTCTGACCCTAGGGCATAAATTGAATAAAAAACAAAGCAAACCTAAGCAACCTCAGAATCAAAAGGGACCCCACAAGTCAGCCAGCCCAACTGGGATATAAGCAAGAATCCCCTCCATTGCAGTGCTGACAAGTGACCGGCCAGGATATTCTCAAAGACCTCCAGTAATGGGGAAACATACCACCCCTCCCAAGACAGCCCATTCCATTTTTGAACACCTTTGATTCTTAGGAAGTTTTTTCTTCCTATCAAGCCTTATTTTGAGCTTTTCTCTGCAGTTTCCACCATGGCAGATCCTCTGACCACATCTAGAATACTATATTCCACTCTAGGTACCACATTTTAAGAAGGGCACTGATCATATAAAGCAATGGGGACAAAGATGATTGAGGGGACTGAATGAATGCCAGGACATACTACCACCAGTTGAATAATGAGGTATGTCTAACTTAGAGGAAACACTAGATTCAAGTATTTGAAAAAATTATCATGAGGAAGAAGGACTAGGCTTATTCTATTTGGTTCCAGAGCCATACCTTAGAGCCATGGGGAGATGTTCCCAAGAGGTAGCATACTATTTCCTATAAGGGATGACTTCCTGACAGTTTAAGCTAGCCTGCAGTGTAAAGAATGCCCCAGTAGTTAGTGAGTTCTCAGGGATGCTGTAGAGCAGAGCTGTCAAACTCACGGACCAAAAAACTCTGTTTTTAGGGGGGTTTTTTGTTTCATTCTGTTTAGGCAACTGGGGTTAAGTGACTTGCCCAGGGTCACACAGCTAGTAAGTGTCCATGAAACTCTGAAGAGGGAACCAGACTTAAATATAATTGGGAAAATGTTTAACAAAATTTAAAAAAAATACAATACAGCATAGGTAATGTTAATTTGTGGTTTTCTAAGTCAGAGTTTGACATCGCTGCTGTAAAGGAGATTTTTGCTTTTACGAATTAGACTTGAATTAGAATGATGCCAAATGAAGCTCCTTCCAGTTAGAAGACTGTGGTTCTAGTACTCCCCTGGGACCCCTTCTTGGTGACAGCCTTTGAGATGCTGAATGACAGCAATGTTCTGGCCCTTAATGCTTCTGTTTTTCAGTCTCAGCTGGGTCCTAAGAAATCAGAGCTTCAGAAGCATTGTGAGTTGGAAGGGACCTTGGACAGGATCTCATCCCACCTTGACAATATCAAGTTCAAAGCTTCTCCACCTAAGGCCTTGAAGATTATTTGACAGCTCCCCATCAAGGGAGTAAAGGCAGATCTCAGCAGGATAAGGACACTCTACTTACTACCTTCCCAGGACCAAAGTGCAAAAGTTATCACTTACCTTGGTAACTCTCCTAAAGTGTCCGGGGTAAGGTGGGGCTTTGTTTGATGACCCACTCCCCATGAGGGTTGGTGTGGTACAGGTCTAAGAGGTAAGTGTCTGGATCCAGGCAATGTTCACCTGTGGGGCAAAGGGACAATTGAAAAATAGCCATCAGAGCCGATGGAAATGGAGGAGGCAAAGGAAAAGGAAGGAGAGGAAGAGAAAGAAGATAACCATATATCTATAGGATTTAAAATTTTTCAAAGACCATGCCCTTAGGTGATGCAAGTCTTTATTGTATAGGTGAAGAAGCTGAGGACCAGATTAGGTAAAATGACTTCTCTAAGGTCATATAACTAGTATGTATCAGACCTGAAAAGAGCAGAAAGGAGAAGAGGAAAAAGAAAAAAAAAGAAAAGGAGGAGGGAAGAGGACAGAGAAGAGAAGAAGGAAGAGGAAGTGGAGAGAAAAAATAATAGGAAGAGAAAGACCACATTTACACACAGTTTTAAAGTTTTCAAAGACCCTTCCCCATGTAAATAGGTGAAGAGTGGGGGCCACCAGAGAAAGGAATGTCTTGGTCAAGGTCACACAACTATAATAAGCATCAGAGTTGGGAAGAGCAGAAGAAAGAAGAAGAAGAAGAAGTAGAAGGAAGAGAAAAAGGAGCAGGAAGAAGAGGAAAAGGAGGAAGAGAAAGAGTACCACACTTCTACAAGGTTTTAAAGCTTCCAAAGATCGTTCCCCATGTAATCTAAGTATTAACTGTGTAAGTGAAGAAACTGCAGGCTAGAGAAATAGAATGACTTTTCCAAGGTCATCCAGCTATTAAGTGTCAGAGTTGAGATTCAAATCTAGGTGGCCTGACTCCAGGTCCAATGCTGTTTCCACCAACCCATACTGCCTGTCATAACAAATGTTTCTAACAAACAAGGTTCATTTTCTGAAATCATTTGGGTTGGGAATATTCCATGGATTTTATCAGATACTTGTTGAACTGCCTTGTGGCCAAACAGACTGTGAAACATCTAAATGCTATGCTCTAAACCAGGGGTGGGGAACCTGAGGCCTCAAGGCCACATATGGCCTTCTAGGTCCTCGGGTGTGGCCTTTTGACTGAGCCCAAGTTTTACTGAACAAATCCTTTTATTAAGGGGATTTGTTCGGTGAAGTTTGAGTCTAAACTCACATCGCTCTACCATTTTGGAGAGAAACATTTGGCCTCGAGCAATTAGAACACAGAACTTATGAGGCCAAGGCTATGGACTGCATCTGTGTAGGAGCTGGCTAGGTCCCACAGAAAAATATCCTGTATTCCATAGCCACAGCCTGACTGACTCCGAATTCTATTTGCAGCCTCACCTGTAACTCTGTCCTCATTCTGAGTCCCTAAATCCCAGGCCATTTATTCATTCAACATTATTAAAAAACCATCACAGCAGCAGCTAGGTGGTTCAGTGGATAGAGCACTAGCCCTGAAATCAGGAGGACCCGAGTTCAAATCCAGCCTCAGACATTTACTAGCTGTGTGACCATGGGCAAGTCATTTAACCTCGACTGCCTCAAAAAAACAAACCAAAAAATTCTATCATGTACTGCAAACTGTGTGCAGAGCTAGGTACTGAGAGAGATACTAAGTTTAAATAAATACCCCTCTTATTAGAATGCTAGCTCCTTAAGGACAGGGACTGTCTTTCACCACTTAGCCTGATACACAGTCAAGGCTAATGGCTATTGACTGGCTTGACTACTCTCAGAGAGCATACAGCATAGGAGATGGATATGACACAAATATAGATAACTGTAAAACACAATATTAACTGACAAGTGCATCAGAGACAGGTGAAACAAAATGCCAGGTAAAGTCTGAGTCCCTTCAGACTACAAACAGAACATACGTAGGTAGGCTTCTTGGAGGAGGTCGAATATGAGTTGGACTTTAAAGGAATTTAGCAGGCAAAGAGGAGAAAAAGAAGGACGTTCCTGGCAAAGGAAACAGTGCAAACAAAGCCATAAGGTGGGAGAGCACATGGTGAATTAATTCAGAGAAAGATGAGAATTGTGCAGTTTCCCTGAAGTTTTGCGCATCCAAAAGGAAGTAATATGAAATAGGGTTAGAAAGGTATAATGGTAGATTGTGGAAAGCTTTGAAAGGCAGGCAGAGGGATCTGAGCTTTACTCAGAAGGCAATAGGGAGCCACTGAAGACTGCTGAACCGAAGGCTGAAATGACCAGCCAAATCTATGCCTGACCTTGCCAAAGGTCAGCAAAAGCCTGACACCAGATCCCCAATTTCACATTGACCCCTGTGCCCAGGTCAGGTGCCATCTCTCCTCCCATTTGGCCAGAAACAATTGTTTCCACCTCTGAACGCTCAGAACGCTTTTCACCTCTGTGAAGGCATTTAAAGAAAATGATTTCATGTTAAAGTTATCTGGGCATCTATGATATCTTCCCTGTTAGGCTGTGAGCTCTGCAAGGGCAGCAACAGCTATTTTATTTATATGATCATAGACTTCAGAGCTAAAAACGACTTGAGAGATCATTAAATCCAACCCCTCATTTTACAGATGAAGAAACAACAGAAATGGTTAAGTGACTTGCCTAAAGTCTGCCATATTAGTTAAGTAAGAGAATCAGGCTTTGACCTGTGGAAACATAATTTAAAACCTTTTTTTGTTTTTTTTTGCAAAACTAAAAGTATTAAGAAATAATGTATTTGTCTAAAGCCCTTTTTAAGAACCTTGGAAAAGCCCCTTGGAAAGGTCCCGGACAAAAAGGACTCTTCACTGGCAAATGGAGTAAGGGTGGTGGCCAATCTTTTAACCAAGAATAACTCTTGTCTAGTTGACATCATTGCTTCCCCACTCAAAAGAAATGAAGTGACTAGTGCCAAGACCTACTCTTTTCTCTAGAGAAAGGATACTGTTATCTATCTGGGGAGGAGGCACCTTTGTTTATTCCTGGAGTGGGAGCAGTGGTTTAAGAGGGAATGGGATTGTTTACTTGACTATCCTAGAAGGGTAACCCAAACTGTGTTGTTATGATTTACTTCCTTGGGATTCCTATAATCACGTCGGGGTAGAGCATTGTGCCAGAGGGCAAAGGGCACTATGCCTTTCTTTACAGATGGCTGAAGTTGGGCTCTCAGCTCCCTATGCCTTGCATCTGCTGCTCTGCCTGGTTTCAAATACATGGAATAAGATGCCCCCCTTATCAGGTACCCCCTGATGTCCCCACCTCTCCCCACCTCCATCTTCCTGCCTCCTCTTGTGTGTTGTCTTCCCTCATTAGATTGTAAGTTCCTCGAGGGGACAATTACATCCCTAGCACTTAGCACAGTGCCTGGCACATAGTAGGCACTTAATAAACATTTAGTAAATTGAAAAATATTCAATAAAATTGTTTCTGGAAGAATTGATCCTAAAAATAGAGTACAGCAATAGTATTAATATTATTTTTTCTTTGACAGAACCTAGGTCATTTAATTTCAAATCCAGCACTCTTTTCATTGAGCCACATTTAGTTTTCCCCACAGTCTCGAGCACAAGGCCTAGATAGTGGTTGTTTGAATACTGAGCTGATGAATGAATGAGTGAATGAATGAATGAGTGAGTGAAATCCCACAATCAAGAAGCTTTCCTCTTTGATTGCCTTCATAGAAGTGTCCCACTTGTATGGGACGAGTGAAAGTTTCTCATGTAAGATTTAAGCTATGCTCCATAAATGTAGTAAGGTTTCAGCATGAGCTGGGCCTAAGTTTCACTTTCGTTTCTGGGGAAGGGGGTTGTGCACCAGCTGCCCACACCCCTCCCTTGTTTTGTAACCACCCCCTCTGTTGTTTTGTGCCTTAACTTTACCAAAATAAGGCAATCCTCTAACTCCCAAGCTAGTTTTGAGTAAAATGTGTCTCTTTGGGTTCTAAATCTAGACTGTGAGGTCTCTTGCCTCAACCAATGAGGATAAAGAGATTGAGACAGACAGGCGGGGAGGGGGGCTTTTTGGAGTGGTTTGTCTAAGACTATATACACAGCTTGCTGTTGTTTGTGCTTCGCCTCTCTACACCAGTCTGCTCTGGGTAGGAGATGCCCAACTCTCGCGAGAGACTTGCTAGAATAAAACCTTCTGTTTTCTACCTGGAGATACCTCTGAGTTTTTATTTGGGTAAGTGGTCTCTATTCCACTCACACTCAAAAAGAGAATGACTGGTAGATGTGGATCACTGCCAAAGCGATTGTCTGAAAGGCCCAAGGGCAGACTTACTTATGTTCCCGCCGACTTCATAAAGGAGCAGGTTTGATGATTCAACAGGCCCATTACTGCAGAACACAGAAGAAAGATACATATGTCAGTGAGGATGGTCCAAAGGCAGCCAAGGCATTCATAATGACATAAGCTCTCATTTCAATGGGGCTTTAAGGTTTGCATAGGACTTTTCAAACAACCACCTATGAGAAAAGTAGGGAAGTGATTATTGCCTCCATTTCACAGAAGATCAAAGGATCACAAGAGCAGAGAGACCCAAAAGGGACCTCAGAGACCAAACTCTTCATTTTATAGATGAGTCAGTTAAGGCTCAGCACCATTAAGTGACCTGCGTTTGGTTATGTACCTAACCAGCAAGCTGGAACCAGAAGCCAGTGCCCTTTCTACTGACTGTACGATACTTCTCCAGCATGAATGGGGGGGGGGGGGACTTTTTAAAGACCCCACACCCAGAAGTGCAGGCCCCACTGATCTCTTAGATGTAATCGTGGACAAGTTCCTTACTCACCCTCAGCTTTGGTTTTCTCCTTTGTAAAATGAAAAGATGGGAATGGGTGATCTCTAAGCTCCTTTCCAACTCTAGATATCATGGTATGGTCAGGGATAGGCACAAAGGCATATACCAAGACTGGGTGTCAGGTCTTTACAAGGGGGGCAAAGAATGTAACTAAACAGATTTGACTCATGCAGAAAATTAACTTGGGTCAACAACGTCAAGGGTGGCCTGGTCAAAGCCCCAGCATAAGAGACAGGAAGGCAAGGTCCACTTTTAGGCCTTTCCCTTCCCTTCCTTCCTTCCCTCCTGGCTAGGGGTGGACATGGGTACAGTAATATATAGAGGACTGGGGCCTTAGTCTGTTCCATTCATTGGCAGACATTTTTCCTTGAGATGATATTTGTTACAGGAGAATTTGAGCCCTGTCCTATCTTAACTGAGTTTGAATCTGAACTAAGATATTGACTACTTTTGTAACTTTTGACAAATCGTTTTCCTTCTCAGGCTGCACTTTATGTATAAAATGAAGTAGCTGGACTAAATTAATTATAAGGTCCCTTCCAGTTCTAAACTCTGATACATGAATTCAATCCTACAGATGATAAGAAAAATCTCTAATAGTTATTATCTTCAGTGAACAACAGTGACTAAGTTTAAATTGAACTTGAGAGTCAGGAGAACTAGATTCTAATCCTGGTTCTGTATATTACTACCTGTAGGACCTTGGCAAAGTCCCTTTCCTTCTTTGAGATTTGACTTCCACGTGTATAAAATGAAGGAAGGGGACCTTGAAGGTTCTCTTTTGCCTTGAGATTCTGGAATCCGATTTCCTTTTTGTGTGAGTGGGCCTCACTCATCCTGTCAACAAGGTTGGCACTGGCAGAGGGCAAAGCCTCTCACTAGCATCACAAAGTCACCCAATGGACCGAACTTGAACCCCTGCTTCCTCTGCTCCCAAAAGGGCAGGCAGCAATGATGGGATGAGCCCTCAAAGGCACTCGGTCTTGGGGCTTACTTTCTGCTAGGATCCTGCCTGCTATAAGCAAGGTGGTTAAGGAAAAAATACTTTGTAAATGTAGACTATTTAGAATATAGGGGGCAGCTAGGTGGCGCAGAGGATAGAACACCAGCCCTGGAGTCAGGAAGACCTGAGTTCAAATCCAGCCTCAGACACTAGACACTTACTAGCTGTGTGACCCTGGGCAAGTCACTTAACTCCATTGCCTAGCCAAAAAATAAATAAATAAAATAGAATATAGAAGCACCATAGGAATGGAAGTTATTGTTATCTTGTCCTTCCACAAAAGTCACCATGTCTTTTTCCTCCAAGGCCAAGGCATGAATAGATTTAGAGCAAAGGATATTAAACGACAGGTCAGCTGCCCTTCAAAACATTATCCATACGCTGCCCAAAATGGCTTTCTTCTCTGAGGGGAGAGGCATTCTCTCCCATTAGACCACAGCAGCTCTCTTTGGTCACCCTAGACAGCTACATGCTTGGAGGCATGTGGGCTAGTATTTAATGTTAAAGCTTATGCTCATAGCATCAGAAACTAAAGAGCTAAAAGGAACCTTAAAGTTCATCTAGTCCAACACTCACATTTTACAGGGGAAGAAACTGAGGCCTATAGAGGGGAAGTGACTTGTACAAGGTTCTACAGATAGTTAATTGACTCTGGGGATAAATCTAGGGATCTGGCATTAGGTCGTCTGGCACACTTTCGGTTCTACAGCATTTCTTTATTTATTTTCAAGGATTTTATTTATTTATTTTAGTTTTCAACATTCACTTTTATTAGATCTTGAGTTTAAATGTTTCCCCTCCCCCCTCCCCAATCATGTAATCTGATATAGGCTATCCATGCACGATCTCTATATATAGGCTATACCTGCACAGCATTTAGAGTAGGAAAGGATCTTAAGAGACCACCTGGAATAAACCTTTCATTTTACAGAAGGGGAAACTGAGGTCCAGAGAAAGGAAGTGACTTACAAGGTCACAAAAGCTGTAGTGGTTAGAACAAAGAGCTTAAGAGGGGCCAAGGCTGTGGACCTAATTTGTGTAGGGCAAGCTAAAAGGCAGAGGCAATATTCAAACCAGGGTCCACTGATGGTGAACTCCACAATTGTTTCCTCACTCCTTGGGGCCCCTGGAGTTTCCAGGCAGGAGTTACCATTGGATTAGGTTGACTGTCTTCATGACATTCCAGCTGTTGGAGCAGAGGTGTCTCTGGAACTGCTTAAGCACATCAGCAGCTTTGGTGCTATTGTGTAGATGCACCTCTAAACAGTCCTTTAGGAGCAGAGCGGCCTGGATTTTCACCACTTTGGATGGCTGAAGAACAAAGAATGCAGACGTGCATACACAAACAAGAAGAGATGTGTTAAAGGAGAACAGAATTCCTCTCACTGCTCTGTAGGCTGCACCCCTGACTCTCCTGGCCTTTTTAAGGAAGATGCCCAAACCAGCTAGATGGCTCAGTAGACAGAATGCTGGACCTGGAGTCACGAAGTCCTGAGTTCAAATTCAGCCTCAGACGCTTACTAGCTATGTGATGCTGGGAAAATCACTTAACCTCTGTTTGCCTTAACCCACTGGAGAAGGAAATGGCAAATCATTCCAGTATCTTTGCCAAGAAAACCACATGGATAGTACGGCCATGGGGTTAGGAAGAGGTGGACATACATGGCTGAACTGAACAACAGTAAGCCCAGACCAGCCATGTCTTTTTTTTTTTCTTTTGGCTAGGCAATGGGGTTAAGTGACTTGCCCAGGGTCACACAGCTAGTATGTGTTATGTGTCTGAGGCCGGATTTGAACTCAGGTCCTCCTGAATCCAGGGCCGGTGCTCTATCCACTGTCCCATCTAGCTGCCCCCTAGCCATGTCTTAATCCCTCTACAGGCTGTACTTTGGACTCTCCAGACTTGCTTTACAATGCTTTCCTCACCAGGTACCTTCATCATCCTCCAGCCCCTTTCCAGCTTCCTTTTAGGTTATCTTCCCCCATTAGAATGTAAGCTCCTTGAGGGAAGGGACTGTTTTTTCTTTCCCTTTGTATTTGCATTCCTAGCACTTAGCATGGTGCCCAGCATATAATAAATAGTAAGCACTTAAATCCCTGTGGACTTGACACGTGTACACACCCCAGGCAAACTGACCAATCTGCTGCCTAACATCCCTTCTCCTTTCTCCACTTCTCATCTCCCATGCCTGGAAGGCACTCCCCTCATCATCTCTACCATTAGAACCCTTGGCTTCCCTCAAGGCTCTGCCCAAGGGCCATCTCTTCATTACTCTTCAGTCATGTCCAACTCTTTGTGACTCTATTTGGGGTTTTGTTGGCAAGGAGTGCTTGGCCATTTTGTTCTCCAACTCATTTTACAAATGAGAAAACTGAGGCAAACAGGGTAAAATAACTTACCCAGGGTCACACAGCTAGTAAGTATCTGAGGCCAAATTTGAACTCAGGTCTTCCTGGCTCCAGGCCTGACACTCTATCCACTGTGCCACCTAGCTGCCATCTCCTACACAAGGCCAACCCTTCTTCTCCCAGGGTTTAGTGCCTTCTCTTCTGAAATGACTTTGTATTTTTAAACATCTACTTTGCATTTACTTATCTGTGTACATGTACCTTCCCCTGAGAGAATTTAAGGTCATGGAAGGCAAAGAGCGCTTTGTTTTTGCACAGTGCCTCATACAGAGTAGGCGCTTAATAAATGCTTTTTGAATCAATGACTAAGTAAATGATACAGACTCTAGAAGGCTGAACAGAGAAGATGTGCACAATTCATTAAGTACCTGTTATGTATTTTCAATGATCTCAAGCTGGTCCTTTTGATTATTATTTATTTCTTTTGATTCTTTTTGGAGATGCCCTAAGGCTATGAATCATGAGACACCATCATCTTAGAAGAATCACAATTTGGGCAATCCCAAGGTCAATGGGACTCTGCACGCTGGATGTGAGCACATTACCAATAATGTCTTCTGAGCTTTGACATGAGAGATGGCCTCAAAGACAGCACCAATGACATATTGTGATGGGAAAGGGAGGTGAGAGCTGTTAAGCACCAAGATTGGGGGATAACAGGTGGGCAGACCAAGCGCTGCACTGGCACCCACAAAGTCCAGGTGAAGCCTGAACCCCTTTAGGTTAACAACAGAGAAGAAGAGAGCAGCCTCCTTGCAGAAGATGAGACTGAAAGGCTGAGTGGGAATTCATCGGTAAAAAGAACCAGAGTAGGACTGTAAGCGTACTGGAGGCTCCTTTATGGAGGATTCACAGAAAGCCACAAACAGGATGAGAAGGCATGGGTGAGTTGCTATATGCACCTGTGGAGGGAGTAGCCAGCTGATGAGATCACACATTTATTGAAGGGCTGATTTATAGGTAAGTCAGAGTCAGGGAGGGGAGAAACATAGAGACAAAAAATTACAATAATCCCTACTCTCAAGGAACTTAAGATCCACCGTAGGGATTCAACATGTTTACCTTTAAGATATAAGCAGGGGTGTGCTAGCCTGGGCAGCTGGGTGGCACCCTAGTGAACAGAGTGCTGGGTCTGGAGTCAGGAATATGCATCTTTCTGAGTTCAAATCTGACCTCAGACTTGCTGTGTGACCCTGGGCAAGTCGCTTAACCCTGCTTGCCTCAGTTTCCTCATCTGTAAAATGAGCTGGAGAAGTAAATGGCAAACCACTCCAGTATCTCGGCAAGAAAACCCCAAATGGGATCAGAAAGAGTTGGGTATGACTAGGCAGTGGCTAAATTTTCAGTGTGAACGTTTACACCTTGGAAGCTGACAAACCTACAGCTCAGAACTTGATTATTGTCTTGTTCAGGGTCTAGACTTAAGAAAGTGAGGAGAACATGTGAACGCAGATTAAAATGTAAAGTATGTCACATACAGCGGTGTTCCCCCTCCCCCCAAAAAAGAGCTGGTGGTTAAACATCTACCAGCACACTCCAGGATATAAGACAGAGTGAAAGGACAGATACAAAGTGCACAAAGAAAATGGAAGGAGGAAGGGAACTATCTAAGCACCCTTGGGACTTCTAAGGTTCTTCCATCAGTTCTGCAGACGAATTTGTGTATATGTGTTGTCTCTCCCAGTTAAAATGTAAGCTCCATGAAAACAGGAAGTGTTTCACTATTCCATTTGTATCCTCAGGGCTTAGCACACAGTAAGTGCTCAGTAAATGCTTTTTCATGTATTCAGTCACTTGTGGAGGAACCGATATATGCCTTGAAGGATGAGAATGGCTCCAAAAGGCAAAGAGGGGGAGCAAACGAATGTGTTCCAGGCACAGGGGGACAGGCTGCAAAAATCCAGGACAAGACTAGGGAAGAGTTAGTAGCACGGTCTGATTAAAGAGAGAGAAATGAAGAAAAGGAAATATTGTGCAATGGGAAAGGCTATGGAAGACCTTGGATAAAAGCTAGGCTTGGGAGATCATACGTTGCTCTAAAGGCAATGGAGAACCACTCTAGGTGCGTACACACACACATCGGATGGACACAGGAAGTTTAATAAGACAGCATGTGAACACAATAGCCTTTTTTTGTCCTTTAGTCATGTCTGACTCTTTGTGACCCCATTTGGGTTTTTTTTTTGTCATTTCCTTCTCAGCTCATTTTACAGATGAGGAGAATGAGGCAAACAGGATGAAGTGACTTGCCCAGGGTCACCCAGCTAGTAAGTGTCTGAAGCCAGATTTGAACTCAGGAAGATGAGTCTTCCTGACTCTAGGCCCAGCACTCTATCCACTTCCTCACCTGGCTATCTGAATGGCCTTTAGAAGGCTATATGAACACACACACACACACATGCACACAAATGGACTTTGGAAGGCTAAGGAAGGAGAAGCACGGACACACAGACACACATTCTCAAATAGGCATGATTCACTTCTCTGTGTTGGGCTTTGGCCAAGAAATCGTGTCACCAGTGCATGCAAGAATCCAAAATGAGGGTGAGCTTATTGGTGGTGTGTGGTCTTCAGAAAGAGCATTTAACGTACTCAAAAGAGGTGACTAACATCTTGATGGTTTAAAGGCCGTTGAAGCTTTGAATCCCTTTGTTTTTTAGACAGAAGCTGCACCTCCTTCTGTCTCTCGGCAGCCAGAGGCAGAGGTCTCCAGCCCAGACAGAAGCCATTCCGTGGAGTAGGGAGGGTGGGACACCTGGGAAAAGCTCCCAGAGAGGCCCAGGGTTGGGTGCCAAGGAAGCCAGGTTGAAAACAATGGCTCACATTCAGCCAGCCAGCCTCCGTCTTTTCACAGTACTAAGAGCTGTCGACATAAATAAATACATAAAAACAACCTCCCAGCCAAATTGAATCACCAGCCCAGTTACCATTTGGGAATAAAGTTGGAGCGCCCCCAGGTGTCCAGAGGTGGGATAGGTTTCTGTTTAAAATGACTAAGGCTGAACGACTGGGGAAGGCAGGCCATCCAATTCAATGGATTCCCCTTCATCCCCTCCACAAGGCTCAAGAAAAACTGCCAGTGAAACCCAGAAAAGTACTATAGAGAACCACTGTGTTCATGCCCTCCTCTTCCTACCTTTCATCACAGGGCTACCCACAGCAGCGTCCTTTCCCAGGAGGACGAGGTTCAGAGACAAGGATAATAAGGTCACAGGTTTAAAGCTGGAAGGGACATCAACTCCATTATTTTGCAGACGAATAAATTGAGACTCAGAGAAGGAGAGTGACTTACCTAAGGTCACACAGTTAGTAAGTAAAGTCTTAGGGGGGAAATGAGAACCGTTTTCAAATATTTAAAGAGCTGTCATATGGTAAAGAGAGTAGACTTTTTTCTTCTTGGTCCCAGGAATTAGAATGAGAAGCGATGAATGGGAATTGTAGAGAGGCAGTTTTAGTCAGTCAGTAAAGAAGGGGGAGAACTTCCTAGAATGGAATGAGTTGCCTCAAGGGACTAGTGGGTTTACCATCTTTGGAAATCTTCAAAAGGGTTGGGACGGTCACTTAGCTAGGATCCTGTAGCTTGGATCTGTGCTTAGTTATGGGCTGAGTCAGAGCTGCTTCTGAGGTCCCTTGTCTAGAGGCAGCTGGTGACTCAGCAGGTAGAGCCCTGGGCCTAGAGTCAGGAAGACCTGAGCTCAAATTCAGCATCAGACATGTACTAGCTGTGTGACCTGAGGCAAGTGCCTTAACCTCTGTATGCCTCAGTTTCCCCAACTATAAAAAGGGAACAGTAATAGCATCTACCTCCAGGGGCTGCTGTGAGGATCAAGTGAGATACCATTTGTAAAAAGTGCATAGCACAGTGCCTGGCACATAGTATCTGCTATAAGAAATGCAATTTCCTTCTCTCCCTTCTAAGTCTGGGATTCTATCACTCTGAGAGCAAGGGAAACAAAAGGATCCCAGCAGTAAGAGACGGAAAAGACCTTGCAAATGGCAGGAATTTGTTTCTGTCTCCAGGATCAGACCCCATCGTCTGTGACCACTAGAAACACCCATACCCTAAAGTCACAGATCAGTGCAGGGGTATTGCTGGGTCAGTCTATGGGGGTGAGAACATAGATTTAAATGGCTGGAAGGGACGTGAGAAGCCATCTAGTCCAACCCTTTCTTTTTATAGATGAGGAAATGGAAGCCCAGAAAAGTGAGTTGATTTGCCCAAGGTCGCCCAGTGGTTAGTGGCAGTCAGAATTCAAACTCAGAACCTCTGACTCCTAATCCAGCGCTCAGGGAGCGAGCTCAATTGTGAACCTTGTCCTTTTGGTATCTGGTGGTAGCTAAGCTCCCAAACTCCATTCCGATTAGTGGAATCTGTCCGCCACTCCTGGCAGTGAGACGACACAGGAGATGCCCAGGGACAGGTGCCACGCCTTGCAGAATGGACTTTGCCACCACCTGCAGCAGTGAACACAGAGCAGCCAGCAGGCACTTAGCTATGTGCCGAATCAACGTGAAGAGGGGTGCTGGCTCCACGCTCACCTCTCCGGGGGTCTTGTTCGCCTTGTCCTTGTCTGTGTGAATCTTCTTAAGGAAGTTCTTGATCCGTCTGTCGTAGAACTGATGCCTCCAGCCGCTGTTCTCGTTCAGTTTCCGGACTTGGGCCACCAAGAAGGAGGAGACCTAGCACCAAACAGAGAAAAGCGCAGCTGAAGCCAAGGGGGGTCCTCTCTGAAGGCAGGAGATGCGGCAGAATTGGGAAGGGGGGAGAAATTTTACTTTTAGCAGAGTGACCCCCGAGTACCTCGGGGAACACGGTGACCTGGGTAACAGAATTAGGACTGTCCCAGAGCCCGTCATTCCTTTGAGGGGAAGAAGGTGTCACAAGACCATACATCGAAAGCTGAAGAGATGTGAAAGCCCCTGTCCCATCCCCTCACCTCATATATAAGGAAACAGGCTTTGAAAGCTTAACTGACTTGCCCAAGGTCATACAGATATTAAGTGACAGGGCCAGGATTTGAACCCAGGACCTCTGGCTGCAAATCCAACACTCTTCTTACTCAACCATGCTGCTTCTTCCATTATGGCACTGAAACTTCCAATAAAATGCATCAGGCTGATTACCAAGCAGCATCTCTCATGTTCTTAAGGGTGAAATGTATAAAATATGGGCATACCTCACTTACCACAATAGTAATGTGTGTAACACACATAAACAGAATTATATTTGAAATGTTCAAAGGGTGCTCTCTTATTTAAAGGGATAAATTCAAATCAATAAGTGTACATTGAACAGCCCCAAGGTGCCCAGGACTGTGTTCCTATGGTGAATCCTTTTGAAAAGTAAAGGATTATTTCATAAAAGGAATAACCACCCCAAATAGGTCCATTTTCTTTCTTTCTTTTTCTGTGAGGCAGTTGGGGTTAAGTGACTTGCCCAGGGTCACACAGCTGGTAATGTCTGAGGCTGGATTTGAACTCAGGTCCTCCTGACTCCAAGGCTGGAGCTCTATCTACTGAGGCCCATTTTCTAAACCTTGATTAACATAGGCCAAGTAATGATAACTCTCTTCAACTTGAATTTTTTTCATTCAGCTTTATGAGTCACAATAACAACAATAATAGCTAACATTTATGCAGTACTTTATGATTTGTAAAACAGTTTACTTATGCTATCTCATTTGACAAAACATCAAAAAGGAAAACAAAGTGACAGAAATGGTCGGGTTTTTTTCATTTCACAAAACCACCTTCTGAGGTCTGTCACTATCTGGATCAGTACAGAGCCAGTCCCTTCTCCATGCCCATCACCACCAACTCACAGTCCACAGAAGGTCCTGGTAATGGATCATGGCCCGGACGACATCGGCAGCACTCTCGGCCAGCTGCTTCCCCTTTCCCTCTGGGATTCTGTGAGGCTGCCCTTTATGCATGAAGAGATTTGGTGCCATCACCATGGAAACATTCCATAAAGTCATTTTGTTGTTCTTCTCTCGGGCAACTACCTTCCTGAGAAATTCCAGCAGGGCCTGGAGAAGGAAGGAGGAATGATATAGAGTAACAGGAAACACAGTGGATTTGGACTCAGAGGACCTGGATTCAGATCCCAGCTCTGCCACTCACTAGCTGGATAACCTTAGGCTAGCCACTTCCCTTTTCTGGGTTTCAGTTTCTTCTTCGGTAAAATCATGGTGTCATACTACAGGGCCTTCCAGGTGCCTTTTAGTCCTAAATCCTATGTCCGGGAGAAGGCAATTGGAAAAGGCCAGCTCCTGACACTGAACCTTCCACCTCTCCCTAACGAGTACTCCAGTTCTAATCCTGAACAGCTATGGGGATGAAGAGTCTGGTTGGGATTATAGAGATCTGGGTTCTAGGGTCATTTCTACCACCAGCTTCCTGTGTCATCTTCAGCTTTGACTTCTCTGGGTCTGTGTGCCCCTCCATAAAATGGAATGAATCTCTTTCCTCTCACAATCACTCTCTACTCCTTAGGGATATTGTAGTTTTAGAACTGGAAAGGATCTCAGATGCCATCTCAGTAAATAATCAATAGATATTTATTAAACATCTATTAGGGGCCAGACACTGTGCTACGCCCTAATTCCTCCCCTCAACCCCCTCATTTTACACATAAAGAAACTAAGGCCCTTAGAGATTATCCATAATTATTAGAGAAGAAGTAAGTAGTAGAGGCAGGATTTGAACCTGTATCATCTAACCCCAGATCCAGTGTTCATTTCCATGGTAACACACTAGCATCTCACAAAGGAGATGAACAAGAATACCAATAACAACACTGAGCTCCTTCTGAATAAAGGAGTGAAGCGGTAGTTAAAACACTGAAATGATAACACTGATTTCCATACTTGCAAAGTTCTGTCCTTTCGTTGGTGTGATGTCCCTGTCCCCTTTACTACTGCAGAGGGTAACCCCTCTAAACATTCACAGTAGTTTCACGAATTGTTATGGCCAAAAAAATTCATCACTCAATAATCTTGTTTGTGCAAAAACTTTTTAATTTAATATAATCAAAATTATCCATTTTACATCTTATAGTGCTCCTTATCACTTATTTGGTCATAAATTCTTCCCTTCTCCATAGATCTGACAGGTAAACTACTCCTTGCTCTCCTAGTTTGCTTATGGTTTCACCCTTTATGTCTAAACCATGTATCCATTCTGACTTTATCTTGGTATACAGTGTAAGGGGTTGCTCTATACCTAGTTTCTGTGATACCATTTTCCAGTTTCCCCCCCCCCCGTTTTTGTAGTAATTAATTTTGTGATGATAAATCTTTCTGACATTAGCTAGGCTGATCCTTGAAGGAGGCTCCCATAGCCTGGCCTTGGTCTAGTAACTGATAGCTTTCCAAACAGAGAAGGCCTGTTAGGGCTTGGGCCCCACTGCCTCAGCCTCTTTGGGGATCACCTGGGGCATCAGAGTAAAACCCTATTATCACACAGCATATGAGGTGACTTGGGTACATTACAGATTGAATTGTATCCCCTGTAACATCTCCATGAGTGAAAGCCCGATGTAACTCCATTAGCCAATGGTGCCTTTGTAAGTCCTGGCCAAAGACAAAGCCTGACCTTTCATGCATGTGTGAGAACAGATTTGGGGCCAGATCCAGGGCTGTCTAGAATGATGGAGGGGAAAGTGAAGAATATATTTGGGGATGCTCAGGGTAGCAGGGTAGAGGACATGCTGAGTCCGAGGGGGAGAGTGAAGTGAGATTAGGGGGCCTTACCTTCAAAGTGTTTCTGTTAGCTTCAGGAAGAATCAAGATGAGCAGATTCAGAGCCTGCAGTCGTTGCTTCAGGTCTGGGATATCTGTTTGGAGGAAAAGCAGTAGAGATCTCTGTGGTGTAACTGGTGAGTGCATTCAGCTGCAACTAGAAGGCTGGTGGTTCAAGCCCATGCAAGGATGTGCTTTATGAAAGGCAGAAGACAGGGTACTAGACTTGGAATTAGAAAGACCTGGGTTCAAATCTCACCTCAGACTATGTGACACTGGACAAGTCACCTCGGTTTCCTCAACTGTAAACAGAGATAACAATAGCACCTACCTCCCAGGGTTGCCATGACGATCAAATGAGATAATGCTTGTAAAGCACTCAGCACAGTGCCTCCCCATAGTAGGTGCTTAATAAATTCTTGTGATTATTGTTGTTGTTGTAGTTAATGTGAGGATACCTTTTCCTCTAGAGCTGTCAACACATTTATTAGAAACAATCTCAACTTCAGGAGGAGCCAATGTGTATAATGAAATGTACTTCTTCCTAACCGTTGCCTCTTAGAACTCTCAATTTCCTTCAAAGCTCAGCTCAAATGCTATCTCCAACATGAGGCCTTTCTTCATTCCTCCAGCTATTAATGACTTCCTCCAATACTTTGTACTTATTTTAAATATATTTTGTGTAATGAATAATATAATTTTAAAATTCTATTTTATTTGATTTTCAGTTCCAAAGTCTCTCCCTCCTATTCCCCTTCTCCCACCATTAAGAAGTAAAAAAAAAAAATAAAACCAATTGCAAATATTATAGCCAGTAGTGAATAATATACTAAGAGGCAAAGGGGCATAGTAGCTAGAACAATGTACCCAAAGCCAGGAAGACCCGGGTTCAAGCCTCAATTCTAATACAGACTGTATGACCCTAGGCTAGTCACAGCCTCTTGGGGCTCAGCTCTAGGCAACTCCCTAGGACTATAAGTATTTTTTCTTTAACTTAATTTTTTTTTACTTTCAATTCTAAATTCTGTATCTCCTCCTACCCACTGAGAAGGCAAAAAAAAAATGATATCCGTTCTATATATGAAGTAAGACTATAAAGTATTAGAGAAGGTGCTGACCTGCACTATGAAGGAGTTTCCTTACCTGGCTGTTTCCAAGACCAATGAAATCACAGAGCCAGACCCTACTCCTTTCTATACTCTGTATCTATTTATATGTGTTTATATTAGAAGGTAAGCTCCTTAAGGGCAGGAACAATTTCTTTTTTGTCCTTGTATCCCCAATGTCTAGCACAGTAGCCAACACACAGTAGGCGTTTTAAAAATGTTCATTGATTGATTGATTGATTAACAAAAGGATAGCTCTTATCAACAAATGCCTGACAAGAAGTTACAAATAGGAATTTCTACTTGTAAATAGAAGGAGATACTGAAGAAGAAGCTTGCAACTGGCCCCCCAGAGGAAACTCCCTAATCTTTTCTAGCATCTTTAGGTAAAAAGAAAACACACACACACACACACACACACACACACATACCCCAACAGGCATCCTACCTGAGAGCTAGGATAGACTCCAACACAAAGGAACCTGTAAGCCTGAAAAGAGCAAGCTTTTTGTTGACTCTCCCCCAGAAAGACTCAGCAAGTTCCTGCCTTTTGGTTCATCTTTTATGCATTTAAAGTGTCTACAGAATTGAAAACGAGCATCACCAAGGCATGTGGGGTGTGTCAGCAGTTTGCAACTCTGTACGGACAAAATTAGGAAACAGTGGAATAATAAGAGTGGAATAAAAGATGTTAGCAACAAATATATAAGCAAAGAAATGGGCTGGTCATGTGGCAAGAATCAGGACAACTGATGAGCAGTCCATTGGCTTCACTGATGTCCTTGCAATGGTAAGACAATGTATTGAAGGCTCCCGGCATGATGACTGTATCTCGTTGGGAGAGCATGAACAAGACAAGCACAAATATGGAAAAGAATCAATGGGGTGTGACCTGGAGCCAGAAGGAACCTCAGGAGTCTAGTCCAACCACCTTATTTTACAGATGGGGAAGCTGAGGTCCATGGAAGTTCAGTGACTCAACCAAGGGCACCCAGGTACTAAATGGCAAAGCTAGGATTTGAAATCAGTACCCACACTGATAAGATCAGAGCTTCACTGGAGCACATTTAAAGAAGTTGATATAGAGCTCTTCCTTGGGAGATGAGAATTTTTTTTTTTCAAAAGAGGTTGGAGAATTGAATTTCCATGCTTTTGTGGTAGGAAAACCTTATTTATTTAGTTATTTGGTTGGCTGGTTGGTCTTCAGCTGAACCAGATTAAACTGTAATTGATAATGTTTAACAAAATAAAAATACAGTATCACAAATAGTTAATTTGTGATTTTTTTTTTTGGTGAGGCAATTGGGGTTAAGTGACTTGCCCAGAGTCACATAGCTAGTAAATGTTATGTGTCTCAGGCCAAATTTGAACTCAGATCCTCCTGACTCCAGGGCCAGTGCCCTATCCAGTGCTCCACCTAGCCCCTAATTTGTGATTTTTGAAGTCAATATGAGCCTACTGGGAACTATTTCTATTTTAATTTGGACTACTGATATAGTCCAACCAATAGCTGACCAGGAATATCCTCTCTAACATCCCTGACAAGTGGTGATCATCTAGCTGCCCTGTACTGAAAGACCTCTGGTAATAGGAGAGCCCGTAGGTTCTGCCTCAGGAAAGGAGAACCTTATTTATAAAGCACAAGAATTCCGTGAGCTCCTGCCACTCCCCATCCACATTCCTTCTGTGCCCCAGAACCCCGAGGATGAGGCTACTCACTCTGTACCACGGTGAAGGCAGGCAGGTACTCAGCTGTGAGCAGTGGAGTAGGCAGTTCTCGGATGAACCTCTTCAGCAAACCTGATGCATCATTTTGATGGACCTCATCCCAGTTGAAGAGGCCTGCATAGAACTCTCTCTCTAGCTTCTGCTCCAAACTCTGAAACCAAGAAGAACATGGGCTGGACACCTCAGGCTCCGGGAGAACCAATGTCTCATATCCCTTGCCTTCTCTCTAAGCACACAACCACTATTCTAGCTCTGTCCCTCAATCTCCTCTTACCTGGACCATGTAATAGCCACCTAATTGCTATTAGGTCTCTCCCCTTTTAGGCTTTCCCTTCTCCTATCCATCCTTTAAAAAGCTGCCAAAATAATCTAAGGCAAAGGTCACATCCATGCTCTAAGACCTTTAAGGGCTCCCTATTGCTTCTTAGATAAAATACAAACTTGTCAGGGAGTTTAAAAATCAGGCTCCAACCTACCTTCCCAGCCTTATTTTATATTTATTCTCCTTCCTGTTCTCCATGTTCCAGCTAAACTGATTACAAGCTGTTCCCTGAATGCAACACTCTATTTGCACATCTTTAGTGCCCGGAATCTACTGCCTCTTCAACTCTGCCTCCGGGAATCCTTATCCTCCTTTCTTCAACTATCTCCTCTGTGAAGCCTTCCCTGTGCCCACCAGTTATAAGTACTTTCTCCCTACTTAAAATATCTCACATTTATTTGTGCATGTTACATTTCCTACTAATCCCCACCTCTTCCCACCCCCGAAGAGAATATAGATTATAACATTTCCCACAAGGCTCTGGCTCCAGGCTTCAAGGATTAGCTTGATTAGAGTCCTACGCCTGACATCCTGTGATACATGTGCCTAAGCACCTGTTGGGACAGGTTTATTCCAGGACTAGAACATAAAAGAGGAAGAATAAGGTGAACTTCAGCAAGGCTGCAATGGAATAAACCAGGGGCTCAGGAGTCCCAGTGTGTTTCTGAGACCCAGAGCTAGGGAACCAATTGCAGAACCATTGAAGGGGGAGTCAAACTAGAACAACATGCTGTCGTGAGACTCGGTCTGCTCAGAAGGGATGACTCCAATACAAGTTACTTTAGCCACATTCTATTTCCAGAAACCAGCTGAAGGTGGCATGAACACATTCATGAAAGAAGGAAAACCCATACACCTAACTCCACGTGAAATAAGGAAGCAGAACACAGTACAGGAAGTCCCACTGCTATGGTTTTCTAACCAACTACAAAGACCATGATGAAAAGGGATGAAGAAGGATTGTACATCTTCTTTACCCAACCTGACCATCAGAGAAATTATTCCCTCACCCTGGCACACAAGCATTTCAAGGGATAATGCTTCCCAGGTCTCTTCCCCATTATCCCTCCCCTGCCCCACCCCCGCCATCATTTGTGCGTGACTAGGCATATTGGATTATATCCCTCCAGAAATGTGTGTAAATTTACTTTCTCTATTCCTTTGCTAATTATTTTCATTCTAATGAAATATTTTAATTTAAAATACATGTTCTTTATTTTCATTTGCTAGGAAGGTATCGTAACTGAATTTACGTGACCTGGGGTGGGAAATTAAGCCACCTGCAGTACAGTTATTATCCAAATTACCCAGTAAACCCAGTAATCCATGGGAATTCAAGGAAAAGAGGTGATAATTCCTAGAGAGGGGTACTTTATTTCAGAAAGACTAAAAAAAGGATTATGGTTCTTTGAGAATAGGGGTTATTTGGATTTGTCTTTATATCCCCCCAGTCCCTTACATGGTACATACAAAGTATTCAATAAAAGTATGTTGAATTGAAAGGGAATTGACACTATTTCTAGGAGCCCAGTGCCATAGGGACATATGCTTGTTCCTGATAATACAATTTCTCTGTTAGGTAATCATGTGGCATCACAGTGTGAGGGAGAATACTAGACATAGTCAGAAACTTTTGGGTTGAACTCTATTTATTACTTTTGTGACCGTAGGAAGTCCCTTACCCTCCCTCCAGGCCTCAGTTTTTTCCTTTGTAAAATGATGGGGGTGGCCTAGATCAGGGTAGCTGAGCAGGCCACAGGCAGAGGGACACGAAGGTCAGAGCTTACAGAGGCCCCCCCCCCCGGCCTAGAAGATCTCATCCTGCTATAAATCCTATTAACCATCCAGGGAAGCTGGGTGGTGGGATTGCTCTCTCCCTTTCCTTCCATTTGCTCCTTCCTCTAGGCCACCCAGACCCCACTGAGTGTCTGAGCATGACAAAACACCCACGCCTACTTCCTTGACTTCCCTTCTCCTCTTCACCCAACTTCCTGGCCATCTATAATCCAAGGGGCAGAATACACGGCTGTTTACACAGTCTGGATGAGATTATAACCCTTGTGGTGAGACCGAGGTCCACTGGGCCTTATCATATGTCCTGCCTCTATGCTGTCCAGAACCTTGGGCACTGTAATTTGACTTAATGAAGTACCCCAGGGTCTTGCCTATGGCCTGTTGTACACTGTTAGGACTTCTTGTCCTTTCCCCGTGCCTGGGCCCATAGAATTCTCTTGTATCTGTTGTTTCCCTCATCAGAATGTTAACTCTTTGAGAGCAGGGGCTGTTTTGCATTTCTATTTGTATCTTCAGTGCTTAGCAGAGTATTTGGCATATAGGAAGTGTTTAATAAATGATTTTTCATTCACCTTTTCAACTCTATGAATCAGTGTATTTTCTGGCTGGAAAAGTCAGTTGAGTCTTAATGGAAATTTAAGAGAACTGGATAAAAATTGTGCCAAATAAGAAGAGAACCAGGAAGAGGAGATGTGGGTAGGAAAAGGAAGGTGGCAGGTGCCTAAAAAGCCAAATGAAATTAAATAGAACCACCCCACATGAATATCAATATCCATTAACTGAATTTGCATTTTACTCAACAAACATTCATGTTTAATTATCCATATCAATTCATAAAATGCACAGGTCAGTAAGAGAGTATTTCTACTGGCCATAGGTGCACATTAATAAGGAAAATGCCAGGAACAGAGACCACCATATTATTGATGAATATAGAAGCTGGAAGACCAAACTCCAATTATTAGCGAAAAACAAAACAAACAAACAAAAACCACCCAATTACCTTAATTCTGGTCTGGGAGCCAGATACTCTCAGGATCCCTTCGGTGTCTAACCCTCTCTTCTCTAAACAGGACAGCAACTAGGAGAGAGTTGGAGCCAATGAGTGAAACAGTAGGTGACAGGAGCTTTGAAAACCCATCTAAGAAGACTGCAACTTGGGAGCTGGTTTCTATACATAATCCAGAGTCTGAGAGGTTTGGGAACGGTAGCGTACTTAAGACAGATGGCCAGAAGCTGACTTACAGCTACACGTACATGACATCCGAAGCCAACTTACAGCTTGTAGAATCAAAGGCACTTGTGTGTTGGGGACAACTTTCTGATCAGTCTCCAACAGAGTACTAAGAGGAACTCCAAAAAGCCGCTTCTCTGTAGAAAAGGAAGAGACAAAAATGGATTTCATGTCTTTTTAAGTAATATTGAGTTTCCATTCTAACCGAATTAAGGGGCAAATTTTAAAGGGAATGTCTAATGCCCATAAAAGTTCTCCTCCAATGCTACCTCGAGACACAGACATTCAGCTCAGTTCTCAGGGTGAATGTAACGGAGCACAAACTCTTGCAGGCCCTACTAAGCTGAAAGGGCTTTGAGTACAGGACCAGGGACAGACCGAGTGCCCACTATATAAGGGACACAGAGATTTAGAGATGGAAAGGACCTTAAAGGCCACTGAGTCCAACCCTTCTGCTTTTCATATGACAAAACTGAGGCCTAGAGAGGGTGACTTGCCTAAGGTCACACAAGCAGTAAGTATCTGAGGTGGGATACAGAAGTCATGCCTCTCTGATTCTAAGTCCAGTACTCTATCTGCTATAGCACACTACATTGGATCTGCTACATTCGGAAATACTAACCTCCAGAGGTTGGCCACTGGGCCATAATTTCTTTGTTTACCACAACTTATTAAACCATCTCCCAAGACATGGAGAGGCCGCGATCTGTATCAGCGGCAGTACGCACACTGATGGGACCACAGGTGCTTGAATAACAAAAACTGAGTCTCAGCCTTCTCCGCGTCTATCAAGAAAGCAAATTAGCAGAAGGCAAAGATTACTGAGATGAAGCTCTGAAGGTGCGAGAAAAATATGTATGTGCCACAGAACAGATACACATACACACACACACACACACACACACACACACACACACACACACACACTCTTGTGGGTAAACATGCACAGCAAAATTTTGATGCAAACCCACAAATAGAGGTGGGGGAGACTTGGGGGTGGAGAAAGTTGGGCTCTGTTACTGGTCATGAGGCACTAGAAGCAGTTAGATAGCAGAGTAGATAGAACCTGGAGCCTGGCTCTGGTTGGGCCTAGAGTCGGGAAGGCCTGAGTTCAAATCAGCCTCAGACAATTACTAGCTGTGTGACCCTGGGCAAATCACCTGACTGCTATCTGCTTCAGTTTCCTCATCTGCGAAATGCAGATCATAACAGCAGCTACCTCCCAGGGTTGTTTGCAAGGACCAAATGAGATAATATTTGTAAAGTGCCTCACACAGTGTTTGGCACACAGTAGCTGCTTAATAAATATTTGTCTCCTTCTTTTGATTAATAGACTCACCCATGAATCTGGAACCCTTTGTTCTCAGTAACTATGGACCAATATTCTTACAAAGAAAGTCTTTTCCAAACCTCATCTAGGATCCCGCTGTTTCCACATGTTATCCAGCACCCCTGCAGAGGTTAAGATTCCCCATGCCTTCCACCCCAAAATAAAAAAAAAAATTCAAGTGAATATGAGTTTGTTTTCAGTCAAACCTTATTTCAGTTAAAGACTCTTAAATAGACTAGAGGATGGTTAACCTGTTGCCTTCCATTTTCCTGCCTTGCTCCTTCTCAAGTCCAGTCCCAAAATGTCACAAAGGGCCGTCAGCTCAATCAGGGCCAGCGTGGGGATCTTCTTCATATCTTGTGGTGATAAGTCTCCTATTCTTGTTACTCCAAGTCTTCCCTTAGGAATTCTAAACTTCTAAAGAAACAGAAGAAAATTCCCTGTGTTCAAAACCTTTAGTAGGGACTAAGGTGTCTGAAATTACAGATAATTCCAGGAAATTCAGACATTTTCAGGTAGCACATGGACTGGAAAGATTACTGGTCTAGGAATCACAATGTCCAGTTTCTAGTCTTGGGTCTGATAGCAACACTCTGTGTAACCTTGGATCAACAACTCTCTCTTCTCTGGGCCTCAGTTTTGTCATTCGTATAATGAGAGGGCCTTTTGGCTCTGATAGCCTATGCGGCTATAATAATAGATGGCTACTGGAACTTGCCCTTTGAAACACTCTCTCTGACTACAAACTTAAGTCCCTCTGCCTCTCTCGTTCCCACTCTTAGTGAACCTGTCCTTTGCTCTCCCAAGAAACTCCAGTCCCTCTAGGCCGCCCTAGCTTTTCAGTATATTAGCCTACTTCTAGTTTCACCTCCCACTCTACTTAGCTCAGAACCTATGGCCAAATAGTTCGACAATTCTCTTGCTTAAATCCTAGATTCTTTTACCACCTCTGTGTCCACTGCCAAACCATCCTTATTAACATCCCTTCTAGGATGAATCCCAAATGGCTAATGTTTGACAGAGAAGTCACAAACTGAACGTCACAAAATTGACTGAAGGCCTCATTCAGGTTAAATGGCAGAAATTTATAGTGGAGCCAAAGTTCCTTCACAGTCGTTTTTTTCTATTCATCTTTTGTTGACTCCTTAGGATATTTCTCAGCAAGCACTTAGTCCAATTCATATGTGAAAGGAATCCCCACTACAACATACCTAACAAATGGTCAACCAGACATTACTATGAAATCTCCAAGAAGGAGAAACCCACAACCTCTCAGAGCAGATATTCAACTTTATAAAGCTCCAATTTATTGCTAGGAAATTTTTCTTGTATCCAGCCTAAATTTGCCTCTTAGTAATTTCTATCCATTGCTCTTCTTCCTCTGAATCCCTTTAACTGAATTTTAAAAATCAATTTAATTTATTTTCCATTCCAATTTCTCTCCTCCACCTAATCCTTCCTCACTCATTGAAAAGGTAAAAAAAACCCATTACAAATATGTATAGTCAAGCAAAACAAATTCCCACAGTATTCATATCTCCCACGCACACACACACACAAAATATTCTTTAATCTGTACACTTTTCAGTACTTTGGACTTCCTGTATGACCCTAATCACAACAAACCTTGTTTTACAATACTATGTACAGATGTCTTATCTCACATTCAAAACTGGAAGTTCCTTAGAGGCAGCTAGGTGGCACAGCGGATAGAGCACTGGCCCTGAAGTCAGGAGGACCTGAGTTCAAATCCAGCCTCAGACCAAACACTTACTAGCTGTGTGACCCTGGGCAAGTCACTTAACCCCAACTGCCTAAAAATAAATAAAAAAAGAATAAAAAAAAAACCCTGGAAGTTCCTTGAAGGCAGGGACCAGGCATTATTCATTTATAAATCCTCCATAGGGCCTTATGTGCTGTAAAGGTCCAGGAAACATTTATGAAATTGAATCCAATAGCATACCCGCAATGATGCCCCAGAATCCAAATGCCCAAAGAGGCTCATGTCACCAAACACCCAAGCATGTTCCCAGTTCCTTACCGGCAGTGAACCTTTGCCCCTTATCCACTTGGTTTCTGGGGGCAGTGATCCTTTCTGCAGAAGAGCTGCTTGCTCCGAATATGCAGAATCAGTGCTGAAAATCTCCTCCTTCCCAGAGCTGGGAACTGGGCCAGGATGTTCCACACATCCTGGATAATCTGCCACTGCCAGGGGACAAAAACAGAGCTCTTCAACAGAAGCCACAGGGCAGATGTCTTGCAGATGTTGGTGACACAGTTCTGAGGGGAACAGCTGCTCAGGAATTTATCTACTATAGATGTGCTTCTCCCTCCCGGGATCCCAGATCCACAGGCCAAACTATTACTTCTCATAATCAATAAATCATAATCTTGCCTGCAGAATAACTAACTATAGAGATCCCATCCAAGTTTTTCCCATTTCTACTTTCTTATCCATCCAAACTGTCCTTCATACCCAGAATATTCTTACATGCACATTCCTAATGCATATAATGTATTCTATCATATAATACATAATAACGCATATTCCTAATATGCATAGATCTAGTGATGTCATTTATCTGCTAAAGAATTTTCAGTGGTTCCCTATCCCCTACAGAGTAAGGTTCATACTTCTTTGACTAGCATTTAAAGTTTCTTTAATTTGGTGCCATCCTACCTTTCCTACCTTATCTCATATATTCTCTAAACCAGCCAAACTGGGTATCTCTAAGGTTGCAGAATAGCCACTGTGCTCTCACTCTTCTTGTCTTTACTCAGCCTATTCCCAATCCCCTATATGACCTTCTATCCCCCTACCCACCCTCACCCCCTCTGCCTGCTGAATTCCTTCCCATTCTTTTCCAATTCAAATTCCACTTCTTTGAAGAAGTCTTCCCTGATCCCACTGGATGGCAATAGCCTTTCACCCTCGGACTGTCTACAGCATTTTACTTGCACCCTCCTACTGCACTCGGCGGGTAATATTGTACCTTATAGGTAGCTGTATTACTAACATATTCCTAGACTAAATTCATGAGGACAGGGACCAAGACCTAGTTAAACTTTGTATCTTCCCCAGCACCTAATCCAGTGCTCTGATCACAGTATACACTTAGTAAATGTTTGCTGAATTGTACCTAGAAGTCTTATAACCACAATGTGCCCTTTTTTCCTATGATGGAAGGTCCCAGAGTCCACCAGGACTCCCAGTGCATGTTACTGGCATTTCTCAAGTTCTCTGATACATGGAAAAGAAAACATTTTATCTGGGTCATGTTAATGCCAGGTGTTAGGCACACAACTCTATGCAGATGAAAGATTCACCACCTTTAGGGCTACATCCTCAGACTCCAAAAACTCAGGCAGCCCAATTTGTCAAGAAATTTGACCCCCACTGATCCTGCTTAAGGTCATTTCTACATTGCCACAAGGGCCTTGAAGTCTACCAACCACTCCATGCTGGCTTTCAAACCCAATGACAGTTTCACAAAAGACACCAAGGTGCTGGTCAGATCTTGACAGCTTAGGAGGCAGAGGCTGGGAGCCAAGAAGAAGGAATGAGCAGTATATAGGGAGAAGGAAGAAGGAAAGGAAGAGTTAGTTTTTAAAGGTTTGGTAGTAAAAAGCTTATTTTGGCTGATAAACATCTTCCAGAGACTGATAATGGTCCAAAGACCAATAGCTAGAAAATATAGTTACAGAGAATGTCCTTGGAGAGGAACCTAGATGTACTTTTAGATTTCCAAAAAACAAAGGCACTTCTTACTTGGTGGGGATTCTGCAGGTCTGGATTTTAGCTGTGTCCATTTCCCTTCAGCATCCACTCTTTCTGCTAACCCCTCCTGCATAAGAATGTTGCAAATTACATTGATCAATAAACATTCATTAAGTACCTACCGTGTGCCAGGTACTGGGGACACAATGACAAAAATGAAAGTCCCTTTCTTCAAGGAAGCTTATGGGAGACTATGGGAGAAAACAACATGTATAATAGGAGCATATACAAAATGGGTATCTACTACAGATATAAGTAAATGCAAGGTAATTTTGAGGGAAGAGATAGTAATAGCCGGGTCAGGGATAGGCATCACATTGGAAAGGGATGAAGTATGCTTTGAGGGAAGCTGGAAATTCTAAAAGGCAGAAGAGGTGAAGAGAAAATAAATTTCAGGCATGGTGGGGGAGAGGGGAAAGAACAGTCTATGTAGAGGGAGAGGGATGGGGGATGGAGGATGGAATGACATATTACAGCTAGCATTTAAGGTTTACAAAGTGCTTTACATGTCCTCTTATTTGACTCTTACCATAATTCTATGAAGTAGGTGCTATTATTACTCTCATTTTGCAGAAAAGGAAACTGAGACTGAGAGAAGTTAAGGCCAATTTGGCTGGACCATAGTATATATGAAAGGAAGTGCAGTTATCCCTTCCACATCTCAGGGGTTAGGGGTGCAACACCCCTACAGTCTAGAAAATCCACATAGAATTTTTTGGCCCTCCCTTCATACCACAGGAAGAAGTCTGAATTATTATGGTATTAAAAGATAAAATATGTTGGTATTATACAACGCTATACATATATTTTATGCATTTCTGAGTCTCTAAACTTCTTCTGTGTCATCTGTAGCTTCCACAAAATTCCAAAAAAATTCCCATTTAATTTCTTATGCCAACCTGTGATATATCGAAACTGTGATGGGAAAAGTCTCAATGTGGAAGGGATAACTGCAATGAATAATAAGCCTGGAGGTAGGCTGAAATCAGGTTGTAAAAGGCTATAAATACCAAACAGAGAGAGGAGTTGATATTTGCTCCTAGAAACAATAGGAAGCTTTTTGAGAGCAGGAAGTGACAGGAGGGGATGATATGGTTAGACCTGTACTTTAGGCATCTGATATCTGAGGTACAGAGCTCTCGCTCTAAAGGACCTTAAACTACGACTACTGTGATTCATTCCTAAGGATCTGGTTTGTGTTATGTATGACCTCTCTTTTAATGAATGCAAGAATAGGTTTGCTTAGAATTGTGTTTCTGCAAATAATATCCTTCTTCTGGGGACTGAAAAATGAATGGCTATTACTTACCAGAGAATATGTATATGCATATAGTCATATGGAGAGACAGATGTTCAAATTCAAGACTTTTTCCCTTTCCTTGTTAGGGTCATTGTGTATTGAAATGTATTTCCCCTTCCTATATAGAATAAGAATTAGTATTCTTACACAAAGAATCCCAAGAGAAAAAGCTATATGCACTTCCATCAGAGGACCTCTGATCCTCACTTGAGACTCACTTGAGTCAAAGACTCCTTCACACTTACGAGGCTAATTAAAAGCAAAACTTACTGGGGAGAATCATGCCCATCTTATACACTATTTTATTTATCTATGTAATTTTAGTTGCTTCTCACTTCCTTTTGCTTTTAACTATCCCAACCTGGGCACAGATTTGGGAGATTGCAGCATTCCACCTCCATCTCCAACCCTCCTGAGGCCTTAGTCAGCTGCATAGAATATCTTTTAATAAATATTACTTGTATAACCTATATCAGATTGCTTGCCATCTTGGGGAGGGGGAAAGGGAAGGAGAAAAATTTGGAACTCGAAACCTTATAAAAAATGAATGTTGAAAAGTATCTTTACATGTAATTGGAAAAAATAAGATATTGTTTACAAAAAACATATTACTTAGACATAGGTCTTTGCATAATGTTAACCAGGTAATCCCTCAAGGAGAGATATCTTGTCCCCAAATATAGGAACTTAAATGGGTAGGAGACATTGATCACGTTTTCTTGTCAGACATAGTGTGTCACTTAGTTTGACTTCACTGTTTGTTTGGGGTTTTTTTTTTTGTTACAAGGAAGGCTGCCATGAAGCCCTGGGGTGGGGGTGGGGGGATGGAACAGGAGACAAGAGAATTAAGATTCAAAAATTACTATGATATAAATAAAGCACATCAATAAAACTTTAAAAGAATAAATGAAATGAGAGTCAGCCTGCTAATGATAACTAACATTTACATACTGTTTTAAGGTTTGCAAAGTGTGTTTACATCCATTTATCATCTTTGAGCCTCACACTGAGGATAAGGATAATCTCCAGAGTGGCTAAGGGGCGTGATGTTTAGAGCCCTGGGCCTGGGGTCAAGAAGGCCTGAGTTTGATTCTGGTCTCAGACACTTCCTAACTATATGACCCTGGGAAGTTAGGGGAAGGAGAAGGTTTTAGGAAGAAGATGATGGATTCAGTTTGGGACCCATAGATGTCTCTGATACTCCATAGATTTTTGAGGGATCAGTGGGACATTCTGATGGAGATGCCACATAGACAAGTGGAACTGGGGAATGGGATCTCATAGAAGCATTTAGGGCTGCTGGGAGAGAGCTCTGGGAGACATTTTCATAGATGCAGTAACTGAATCCCAGAGAGCAGACAGCACTCCTTAGAAAGCAGGAGGGTTGGGGCAGCTAGGTGGTGCAGTGGATAAAGCACTGGCCCTGAAGTCAGGAGGACCTGAGTTCAAATCCGGCCTCAGACCAAACACTTGACACTTACTAGCTGTGTGACCGTGGGCAAGTCACTTAACCCCAATTGCCTAGAAAAAAAAAAAACAAGAAAGCAGGAGGGTTACATCTTCCCCCAAAGCGGGAGAAATCAAGAGAATTTCTTTTGCCACATAAAGGAGAGAGCTTAGAGCAACTCCCACCTGATGGCCTCAGTCTTCTCAATGAACTAGGAGGTGAGGTGACTACAAAGAGGGAGAAGGACAAAAGAATGGGGTTGAAGAGAGTAGGGAAAGGTGTGATAATGTTGAAAAGCTTAACTCCAGTAACTGTATTTTCTTTAAAACATGTAGCCACCAGGCAAAAGCTTTTCTAAAGTCAAAAAGGCATGCCTTGCTGAGGAACTGCTCTATTACTGAACAGTGGGCTGCTGTTCACTTTTTTAATGTCCTTTTCCCCCCAGCAGGCAAGGATGCTTCAGGTGCCATTATCTGGAGAGGAGGGCCTTTCTCTGGCCCAAGGATGCAGCCTCGGAGTCGGAGGACTTGGCTTTGTGAATCTTGGTTCTGCTACAGCTTTGGCTGTGTGACCTTAGACAAATCACTTCCCCTCTCTGAGGACCTCAGTTCCCTCATCTACGAATGGAGGTAATATTATACTGCCAATCTCAGGGTTACTGTAAGGCAAGCACTTTACAAAGCTTTAAGTACCCTCAAATGCAAGTTGCTATTATTTTCATTCTCTAAAGTGGTGACGGAAGCAGGGACTTCTGAATGATATTTTATTGATTAGAGCCAGCAAAAATGCTAGAAGAAACCTGGCATGGATTTAGAGGAGCTAGTTACCATCAGCATGGTACAGTGAAAAGAGCAATAGATTTCGGCTAAGAGGATGTTGGTTTGAATCCCAGCTCTGCAACCATGGATATGCAAGTCACTTAAGCTCTCTGGACCTCAGTACCCTTCTCTGTAAAATGAGGGGGTTGCAACCCGATGGGCTCTAAAGTCTTTTATAACTTTAAATCTGTGATCCTAAAATCATCATGTTAGATAAACTCCTGGTGGTCAGGAGCAAGGATTTTGACCTTTGTCCTAGGATGAGAAACTTCTTGCTCCAAGCAAGAAGGGGACACAGAGGTCATCTAATCCAACCCCCTCAGAGGGGGAAACTGAGGCCCAGAGAATTTAAGTGCTAAGTCTAGTTGTTTGGGGGCAGCTAGGTGGCGCAGTGGATACAGCACTGGCCCTGGAGTCAGCAGGACCTGAGCTCAGACACTTGACACTTACTAGGTATGTGACCCTGGGCAAGTTACTTAACCCCATTGCCTAGCCAAAAAAAAAAAAAAGTTTAGTTGTTTGGTCATTTCAATCATGTCACGCTCTTCATGACCCCATTTTGGGGTCTTGGCAAAGATACTGGAGGGGTTTGACATTTTCTTCTCTAGCTCATTTTTATAGATGAGGAAAGTAAGGCAAACAGGATTAAGTGACTTACCCAGGATCACACAGCTAGTAAGTGTCTGAGGCTGGATTTGAACTCGGGAAGACAAGTCTTCCTGATTCTAAGCCCAGTGTTCTATCCACTGTGCCACCTAGCTGCCCATGCCCAAGGTAGTACAGGTAGTTTAGAGACAAGTTTTGTACCAAGATGATCTAACTCCCTATGCAACCACACTTTCCATGATACCACATGGGAGCACTAGAAACTAGTATAATATACATAGTAGGTGCTTAATAAATGTTTGTTGAGTTAAATTGAATTTGCCTTAGAGACTTGATACTCCTTTTCTTACTGAGGCAAATATATCACCTGTTCAATTGAAAATCTGACCTCCTACCATATGACCTTTTGTGTGTATGAATTTAATAGTCACCAGAGTGTCAAGGATTAATTTTGTTTGTGGAAAATTATTTGGGAGAAAGCTGCTACTGTCAGGAGTTCTGGGAATGGGGCAAGAGAGGGAGGGGAATGAAAAGAAGACCCAAGATCAGAGAAGATAAGATTTAACTGACCCCAGAATCAAAGGTGCCAAAGATGTCTCTGACGTCCCTTATGGGTGGCTTGTTTTTCTTACGCATCGAGCGCGTGTAAGTGTCTAGCCTCCGTTGCACAGCAGCCGCCTGGGTCTTTGTGAGTGTGGACAGGAGCACTCTGTTATCACTGTCTGGCGTGGGGGCCCCAAGGAGGTCGGCCAGGCCTGTGTCCTGCAGCCACTGGGCTTCTGCCTCACCCTCTGTCAACAAATGGAAAGCACTGGATACAGTAAACACATTACCATGATTCCAGAGGCAAGAGGGACAGCAGACAGGGTCATACTCACACAGATAATACCAGACAAACAGACAGATCTTTATGGTAATGAGTTCCTTGTCAACCAAAGTATGTGGGCTCACACTAAATAGCCACATGTTGGGTAGAGGGGATACTTTTGGTCTGAGAGGGTGCCAGGTTAGATGACCTTTGAAGCCCCATTCAAACCTTCATTTTATAATTTTCAGAGATAGATATTCACACTTACAGATACCATCACAAGAGCACAATTGCCATGGGTAAAACTTGGTTTGAAAAATATCAATTCTTGCCAGATGTTTTCATCTAAGGATTAAACACAATGAATTTTAGTATTAACCAAGGGCCTCCTGTGTGTCCCAGAACATCTAGCACAGGGGTTAACATGCCTTAGCTTCTTCCTATGTAGAAAAAGGAGGCTGGATTAGCATTTCAGAAATGTTTAACACTCAGTAAATACTTTACTTATGATGTACAGATGGGCTCAATGCATGATTAATGGAAGTTACGCTTAAACCAAGCATAATGTACCACTGCTGCCAGAGTTATAAAAGACCGTAGGAGGTCACTGGCCCCTGACTAAAGGCAGATGAATGTCTAAACAATCCAGGACCAAAGGTGCCTTTTCTTTCCCTTCAAGGTCAGATGTGCCACAAACATCCTTAGTCACTCCTTCAGAGATTTTATCCTCATGCCGACCAATAATTTTTCCTTTGTGTCTCATCAGCATCTCTCCATACACTCTAGTTAAACCCATTTACATTTTATTCAATAGTCTCTAAAAATTAAGAGTGCTACACCATGCAAACTACCAAGAGATTATTCATAGAACTAGGCAAAATAATAACAAAATCAATAGAGGTGAACCAGAGAACGCCTAATTAGTAGAACAAGTAGCCCAGTTCTCAAATTATATCATAAAGCTCTAATCATTAAAACTATTTCATACTGGTTAAAAAATAGAAGAGTAATTCAATGCAACAGACTAGATAAGCAAGTCTGAGAAGCAAAAAAACATGGGGGCTCAGTGTTTGATAGATCCAAGAACAAACTACTGGAGGAAGGAGCCCTTATTGGAGTTCTGGGAAAAATGGAAAACAGGCAGAAAATAGGTTTAAGCCAGCATCTTCTCCAGCTGAAGTTTATTGTGGTACCTGGTATAAGTGATCTAAATTCTAAAGTCACGTGATGAGAAGAATCATAATCAGAACAGGAAGAGAGGAGATTATAAAAGAGAAAACAGACAATTTTGATGATATAAAATGTTAAAACTTTTGCACAAACAAAATCAGTGCAGCTAAACTAAGAAAAACTATTGAGGAAAAAAATTATATCAAGGTTTTTGATAGTCTGACCTACAACATACAGGAAACTGACATAAATTAATAAAACTAAAAGTTTTATTTTAAAACAAAAGTTTAGCAAAGAACATAAAGAGTTTTTAAACGACAAAATACACTCTATCAACAAACATGGAAAAAACGTTCCAAATCACTAAGAGAATTGCAAATCAAAATAGACTCTCATCAAATTGGCAAGGATGCAAGAGATGCAAACACTCAATGATTTGAATAGAATGTTGGAACGGCTTTGTCAACACAGGCATATTAATACCGTTTGGAACTATGTAAGCAAAGTTACTATGTTGTTTATACCCTATGATTCAGAGGAACCACTACTGAATATATAACCGAGAAGGTCTATGACAGGAAGGAAGATTGTACATGTGTGTGTATATACATATATATGCATACCAGGATAGCAACGCTTTTCTGTAGTACCAAAAGCAGACATCCATTGATTGGGTACAGGCTAAACAAAGCATTCTAAATGAATATGATGAAATATTACTTTGTTCTGAGGAGCACCAGTTATGAGGAATTCAAAGAAACATGAGGAGGCTTGTATGAACTGATGATCCTACATGATCCGGGAGGTCCTACCAAGCTGGAAAGACTTTGAGTAGAGGCCTGGTCAAGAAAGAAGTTCACACAAAGAAAGGACCGGGAGACTAATGATTATAACAATACAATATGACAACGCATAAAAGAGAAAATAGCTCAGAATAAATGCAAAAATCTACACTGCTTCCAAATGACAGAAATTGAAACATACCTCCTTCTTCTTAATAGAGAAGTGGTGGACTACAGGTATAAAATGCTTCATACTGTGTCAGATAAATATGTTGTATTAGATGATTTTGCTTAACTGTTTTTCATTGTTGTCATAAGTGAGGGAAATACCAGGGGGAAAGAGGGAATCATTCGAAATGATTATATTATTTAAAAATACACATTACCAAAATATTTTTAAAGAGGAGATTCGCTAAAATCTCAAAACAAATATGGTAGCAAAATTAGAATAGTCACATTCTCAATTTTAAAAAATGACAGAATAGACTAACATCCTCTTCAAAGGTGCCAGTGTAGAACCAATCCAAAAAGTACCACCCAGAGCCTTGGCATCATGGAACTTTGCCCCAAGGGTAGTCCCCTGGCTCTTTGAGAAGGGACAGGGAGGTATGAGTATGTACTAAGTTTGAAGTCACAGGATCATAAGGTATAGAACCAGAAAGGACTTTAGGGATCATTTTGTCCAACTGCCACATTCCATACATGAAGAAACTAAGGTTCAGAGAGGGAAGGGATTTGCCAAAAGGTCACACAGTGTCAGAATTGGGATTTGAACCCAGGCCCTCTGACTCCAAATCCAGTACTCTTCTTACCCTATCATGTTGCCTCCCCTACATGTACTACAGATATCTATTAAGACAAACTGAATTCCCCTGCTCTTGTTTCAGCGTATTTACCTCCCTCCCTCCTCCACCCCAATATTTCAGGTTCTCATCTGATCCTTCCCTTGTCAACCTTTCATCACTTTTAAGAAATAAACATTATGGAACAACCCTAATGGGTGTGTATCAAGGGAAAATTGCCAGGTATTTGAAGGCCCCAGGCACCCAAAACAGAAACTGATGCTATTTTATTGAAGGCTTCAAATCCGAGCCTCCACTGACATTCTCTGATGACTCACATGGGCATGGAAGTGACCTAGAGTTCTTTAAGATCATCTTAGCCAAGTTAAGCCCTGATAGGTCCTACCAAACTGGAAAGACTTTGAATATAGGCCAGTTCAAGAAAGAAGTTCATCACCAGAAAGCTGTCCACTGAGGTGAGGAATGTCTCAGCTATAGGAACTCATTAAATCAACAACGAAGTGGTGGGAGCTAGTAGTAGAGGACATGCTTACACTGATTAAATCACAGGTTCCTGAAGTATCCTTAATGGTAAATGGTACCATACAGAGTTTCCATCTGAGGCCATATTCCTTCCCAAAATAAAGTCAGAAAGGATGGGAAGGAAGGAAAAGGAGGGAAAGAAGAAAAAGAAAGGAAAGAACGAAAGGAAAGAACGGAAGTAAGGAAGGAAGGAAGGAAGGAAGGAAGGAAGGAAGGAAGGAAGGAAGGAAGGAAGGAAGGAAGGGAGGGAGGGAGGGAGGGAGGGAGGAGAAGGGAGGAAGGGAGGAAGGAAGGAAGGAAGGAAGGAAGGAAGGAAGGAAGGAAGGAAGGAAGGAAGGAAGGAAGGAAGGAAGGAAGAGAGGGAGGGAGGGAGGGAGGGAGGAAGGAAGGGAGGGAGGAAGGAAGGGAGGGAGGAAGGAAGGGAGGGAGGAAAGGTAAGAAGGAGGGAGGAAAGGTAAGAAGGAGGGAGGGAGGGAAGGAAAGAAGGAAGGAAGGAAAGAAGGAAGAAAGGAAGAGAAAAAGAAAGAGAGAGAGAGAGAAGGAAAGGTACACAAAGAGAAGGAAAAGCAAGAACAAAAAAGGGAAAGGAGAGGAGAGGAGAGGAAAGAAAAGGAGAAATTATGGTGTGCTGTGGCTCTTTGCCTTTTTCTCTCCAGCTCATCAGTTATAGGCAGGGGTGAGGGGCAGATTCTGATAGTAAAGTCAAGCTAAGGGGTCTCCAACCGAGCCCATCAAGTTCCAGGACTCAGGAAATCATTGTCTATGTTCTATGGGCAGCACAGCTTCTTATGCAAAATAATCATAAATTTTCAAAATAAAATTGGATTTAGTCTGGATGTTTTGCACACAATTTAATTAGAGATCCTGCTGGTCTATAATGAAGCTTAACCTAGAAAAATCATCTTTGTTTTCAGAAAATTAGCTTTCCTCAACTGATGTCAGAGACTGCCTGTAATGACCCACTTTTCTTACAAACAGAACCTAGTGATAAACTGAAGGGCTGGGTCTGAGCTCTGAGAAAGTCTGGTCCTTTACAGCTGCCATATCCATTTATAAACCACAAAGCACTCTATAAATGTTTATCATCATTATCATTTTTTACCCAAAGCTTCATCTGCCTAACTGCAAAACTCATTTCAGTCTGACATGTTCAATTTCTTCTCAATAAAAAGTTTTTTTAAGTTAGGTGATCCATTGTCACCTTAGAAAGAAAGAAAAAAAGAGCTAAATGGCAAACTAAAATGGCAAAAAATGTCCCATATATCTGGTCCTTTAGACAAAGCAGTTGTTCTGTGATAGAGGCCGAACCCATCTAAGCTCAATTATCTAAAAGATCATTTGTACCTTCACGGACTCCCTATGTTGTGGGTAAAATTTCCTCCTCCCCACACACATAGGAGCCATTTTAAAACCTGGCAAAACATGGAAGTGCAAATTGGAGCCCATGGGGTTTCTCCAAAGACTCCCCAGCATTATAAGGCATATTGGTCACTAGAAAACAAAGAATGAGGAGATACAGGTACACCCGCTAGTGCCCCCCAAAACTTACCCAGAGGGCAACTGATAACAACTCTACTTCAGAATCACTGACATTTACATGGTAAATACAAATTGCTTTGTCTTTTGGTCTTCCAGATTCACCCAGAAACTTAACGATCTGGAAACAGTCTAATGTGACAAAAAGAAATCTGGATGTAGAATAGGAG